CAACATACGCAACATACGCAACATACGCAACATACGCAACATACGCAACATACGGTGCATACGGTACATACCACTTTAGGAAGTTTTTGGCTGTGAAATTTTTATTAATTTTCTACTGGCCAACCACTGCGCATTTACTGGACAATGAATTTTTCGAGGGAAAATTTCCCATAGTGTACGGTGCATGCATTACACACGATATATAAGAATGAAAAGGAGAGAGCTGATCACACAAATATTTGTCCCCGTACGAATATAAATACTCTCCTTTTCTTTTGTCAGTGTTGCATTTTATTGTATAGCGCTTTCTTCGTACTCTCTTCAAATAGCAGTTTTCTTTGGTTATTACTGAATTTAATTTTAATTTCTATTGATCTTTGGCTATGTCAAGTAAATTCACTTTATTAAAACAGTAAAAAAATAAATCACTAACATAGTACTAGAATTGACCGATGACCCTATCCTCATTACCCTTTCAACCCGTCCTGGGACTGATCTAGCGAGCAAGATGCTGTTCTATGAGGCAGAAATCAAGGAAATAGTTATCAATGAAATAACAGGTATGTTTTTAACTTGTTTTGTCATGTTTACATCCTTTTAATCTTGCAACTCCAGATGGGAAGGTGAATGGTATTGCATATGATATAGGTCAAAAAGAGTTCAAAGATGGCCGAAAAAGCGATATTGTTTATGGAATACCAGGAGGAAAACACACCATGGCTACGCCACCAGCCTTGGTTGAAATACAGCAAATAGTCGATATGAAGTTTATGAAACGCTTGACGCGATATTGTTTAAACATTCACGATCTAACTAAAGTAGAACCTGTAGTAATGATCTTTGTGATTCAAGGATTCTCGTCGAAAGCTTTTATGGAAGAAAATTTTAACCAACCACAGAACAAATCATACTATACTAGCAAAAAGTGCCTTTGGGCTAAAACCTGTCGATTTTATTCCCTTGATAGCATCTCAGCAAATGTAATGAGCGAAAACACTATGAAACCAGTAGTTGCATTAACATATTTTCTTTGCAACCAGAAGAAAAGTTTATTTGGTCTCGAAAAAAGTGAAGATCCTGAGCTAAGATGTATATACCGAATCGCTGCAAGATCGTTTGAACCATACACAACAAAGGAAGAGGAAAACTACAATCATATAATGGATGTAATGAAAAACACAAACAATCAATTCCAAAAAATTTCAAAATGTATAGATGAGCTTAAAAGAGCGGAGAACGATGATGCTATTCTTAAAAAAAATCAAGCGATATGCTGAAGACGGTTTCGAGTATACAAATAAGAAAATCAAAATGGTTGAAGAGGATGAAACTGGGACGATCACACCTATTGAAAAAGTAATCACTGTAGACAGTTATTTCGTAATTAAGCTACGCGAAGAACCAGGAAAATTTTCATGGGATGAGTGTTATAGAAAAGGAAGAAGTCAAAATTTGTTCGAACGCTACAAGTCTCCCTTAACAGTGAAAGATGCTTTTCATAAGAACACTTTGTGATTATAATCCTTCTTCCCCCTCATATATTATATATAAGTAGCCTTTAAAAGATCATTTCATGCATATCATAAAATAAAAGAGCTTCCCAAGGGGTCAATTAATGTAAACTTTATAAAGAGGTTGTCTTTAATAAAATGAAAGCCAAAGTCCTATTCTAACAGCACTTTTATCGTATTGCGTATGTTGTGTATGTTGTGTATGTTGTGTATGTACCGTATGCTGCGTATGTTGTGTATGTTGCGTATGTACCATAATAGAATAGCTAGGATTTAATTTGATTCGCTTTAAGTATCTTTATATCTCATGAAAGTAATAAAGATAGCAACAAGCTTACAGTTCTCGATAACCTAAGTTGGCCTAAACCGACAAATATACTTTATGTACAGAAGCACACACATAAATTTGATATCCCAAGATTTCTCAGAATACCTAATCTAACTCAACACACTTATTGTTGTTTATGGTAGAAACGGCATTAGTTTTGAACAAACTTGGATTGAGTAATATATTTATTATTATGGACAATGCCACAATACACAAAACACCTGAAGTTCTTAGAGCAATCCGTGACCATGGACAAACACCACTTTTTTTTATTGCCTTAATCGCCTCTTTTGAACCCAATGGAAGTGTGCTGATCAATAATTAAAGATGAGGCGCGTAATATACCTTTTGGGAAGAACGAAATGTTTGCTGACAGAATTGAAGAGGCAGTTAAAAAAGTTGTACCTGAAGACTGTCAAGGTTAGATCCGCCATTCACGAGGATTATTTACAAAGTGTATGAATATTGAAAGAATATAAGCTTATAAATAAATTTAGTTTTGTTTGAACTACCATAAGTTCTTTTTTTTTTTTTATTGGTTTTGTGATGTGTATATTGATGGTCAAACATTTCTACTGATGATCAAAAATTCCTACTGCGAATTTAAAAAATTATATTGAATTCAAAAATTTCTATTGGCCAAAAAAAAAAAACTCTATTTTTCAAAACCTCTATTTTCAAGCGCAAAACACTGTATGTTTGCCACACGCTATTCAATTTATATCAGACTTTTCAAGGGGTCAAAATGGATAGCACGGTGCACTTCAGAATGCGCTTCAAAATTGGGTAATACTTCGTGCGCTCCAGATTTGCGCTCCAGCATTTCTGGATCGCAACTGAAGCGTCATCATTCATTCATATTCAAACTCATCCTATCCAATCATGGTGTGATGAGTAAAAACTAAACCTCTGTTGTGCTGAAAAACTATTAAAGGTCGGCAGTTAGTGCAATCCATTTTCTACTGTAATTAAGATATGAGTGTCTGTAAATAGCAAACATTTGATTTTTTTTCACATATGGGTGGATGCTTAAAAGAACTTTCTATACCTTGGACGGGAACTTGCCACATCCTCAGTTCCCTCTATGTCAACTTTAGAATTGGGGGCATACCTATCTCAGTCATAGTTAACTTCGATTTAACTTCGGATGCGGCACTCTTGTTTAAGGACTAATGGTATGGTTTGTTGAAATGCCGCTTTGGCGATTCTGGTACCCTCTATATACTGTTCTTTTGGCTTAAAATAATATTTTTCAAACGTGTTTTACCTCTGACTCCAGTTTGCATGATGTTTCAGCTTTTTTACGTTAATTCCTTCTAAAAGAGCTTTGGTACTGGCCGCAGAACGTGTTGAATGAGCTTTGCATTTTGTTATATCTACACCAAACAATTGTAGTACGCTCTTGATCTAGTTAACAATTGTAGAACCGGAAACTGGTGCTGGTGCTTTCGATTCATGTTGATATATTTAAGGAATATTGTATGTTCTTCACTAATTCCCAACCTACTCTCTCGCGCCTTACTGCAGTAGCCCCACAGTGCACATACAGGGCATACTTTGCTGTCTTCGATTCACCCAAGCTTTGATACTTTTGCTGGTCCTTCCTTTGGAGCTCTTGCCAATAGAGTTACCCCTATGGTATTTGGGCTAGTAAACGGCACATCAATAAACCATTGCACATAAAGAACAATTAAATAACCCAATTAGAATCAAGATAGTTCATATCTATTTATAAATTGGGAGTTCTTGCCTATGTGTGAATATTTATCACTGTGACAGTTATAAGTCTAAGAAAAAATTTATTTAGACAACAGTTCGTAATACATCGCTATTGTCCTGTCAACGTCACCTTAAGCATTGGTAATCATTATAGCTGAGATAACTTTATCCGATTATTAGAAAAAGTATAAATAGATCTCCATTTTTAATTCAATAAAGGATAACTGACTTTCAGTCTCGTTAATTCTTTGTTTATTTCCTTTAAATACTTCAATCCCTGTTGGTCTTGCAACTGCGTCAATAAAGTGAAAGTCGATATCCCGACATTGTAATCGCCCCAAATCCGATTTTGGTCGTCAGATAGTCCCCAAGCAAAGCAGAATGATGGTTTTTTCTGCAATATGTCCAACAATAAGTTTGTATTCACGGCCCAGTTTTCCTTTATGGAGGTGATTACCAGCAATGGGTCCCATACTTCTTGATACTTATTGAGAATTTGTATCTTAATATTCCTGACAGACTTGAAGAACTCCTGGGCGAAAATATCATTCACCAGTCCACCTCGTTCCGAATGAACAACGTTGTATACTGGCACCAATCCCGGTCGGATGGAATTCAAGTGAGACTTTGAATACCTGGATAAAAAGCTCAAGTATTCAACAACTAGTCTTGTGTCTTCAGACAAAGGATTAGCTATCTGCATCCTGCATCATCTTACCCAATTTCTCCAGTATTCGTTATATGCTTGAGTCGAAGTTTTCCTGTTCTTTTGTTGTAGCATCTGCGTTACGGCTTTTAGGAGGCCCTTTTTTTGACGATAATATCTGATAACCTCCTAAGTACAACAAAAAGCTATTTTTATTGTCATGGACAATTGTAGAATTCAGCACTCTCGCTTTGCTGTGAACGTTATAAACAGAATGGGATGCAAGTCTTTGTTTATGCTACCTTACTCCCGTTTCTCGAACCTTATTGAGGAATATTAGCTCAAGATCAAGAGTAATATCAGAAGAAACTCGCTGAATAAGGAAGACATGCCTACTCCCCATATCAGTGAGGCATGTGAAACAGTTACCATTGAGGACTGTCAAGATTGGATCAGGCACCCTCAAGCCTTCTGAGTCAAACCTTCTGGAAAGATGCATTAATAACGAGATTGACTTCAGGTGATTGAAAATCCATAGTATAAGGCATTTCCTATTTCGCCTCGTTTTGTTTATTGCATTCGTCTAAAAAAGCAAAATCGTCTTATTTTCAAATACTTTACATTACCGTCTTAACTTTTTCGATGACATCACACAAATTAAGGCATGTACAGAGATGAGCAAGTTGATAGAAGCTCTAAAGTAATTCACATCAAGCTTTTGTCATGATTGTAGATTCCCTGTCGACCAAAGCTATAACCACTATAATAAATATTCACAATAGATTGAAGAGTAATCGATGTATTTTGATAAACAGAAAAAGGAACCGCATGCAGATTACCTTTGGGAATGGGGTGCAACCAAAAGTATTTCAAGTGGGTACACTAATGTAAATCAGTAACTAACTGAAGTTCACTGATTTAACAAGTAGGTCATTCTGAGTCACCCCCTGAATATAATCGAAAAAGGAGAAACCATATACTCTTTGAACTACGCCTATCACAAGTATACATCTCCCCTTTTGGATTATATATGGTTGCAATCGTCTGTAAGACTGTGACAGCAGCCATACATATCCGATCATCGCTACACAAGTGCAACACGGAATGACTTGAGCACTTGAGCACTTGATCTGCCTTTTCCGTTGTTACGTGGAAAATTAAAAAATCCAAGCAAGAGTCTATCATCCTTTTTTTGGAGTAACAATGTTTATTCAGTGGATTGAACAATAATGGAAAGTGACACAATATTGCATACACGCACAAATTATTGTTCAGGGTCATGTTTATTAAAAGAAAATCTAGGCAGAAAAAATATTATAAAGATTTATTATATATTTTTAGTACTTGGGAAAATAAAGAATAACCTTCAATTTATACACTTAATCATGCAATCCAATGGTATGAGCTTAACTTCTTTGGCCAATGCCAATCGGCAAAGACACTTAATGCTAACATACGACTTAGTATGCCTTTACAGCAAAGGGAAATGCAGATACATCCTATAATTAAATAAGCAAAAGAAAGAATAAACAGTTTCATCAGACAAGAGATCACATTGAGAGCAGAGCATCAGGTGTATGAAGAGGAAAACATTGTCAATGGGCACAATATACGACAATAACACAAGAAGGTGGTAGCAAGCTCTCCTTTGAGAAATACACAAGAGGTATAAACACACGTTCTGTTAAGCAGAACAGTCGTTCTGTACAATCTGTATTACGCAGATTTTAGTATATATATTATGTTATGTAGAAATAAAGTAGATCTGGTAAAAAAGTAATCTTGTTGCAAAAATAACATGATCTTATTCAAGCTCATATCCTTGATCTCAATTGCTGCTCTAAGCGTGAATGCCATCGATGTCGCGTCTATTTCTGAATGTCCAAAACTAGGTCCTAGAAATGGTACGGCAAAGGACGTCACTGATCTTCGTGTCGATGATATCCAAGTCATTGCTGCATTAGGCGATAGGTACAACAGAAATTAACACTGCAATGGGGTAATAACCTTTTTATATTCATAGCATTATGGCTGGGTTTGGCATGATGGGTATCAATAACGGTGAAGGAGGTACTGGAATTTTAAACTTTAGCTCAGTATTGGAGTTCCGTGGTAACAGCTATGGAATTGGTGGTGATACTGGGGCTGTCACTTTGGCAAACTTTATAAGGAATTATAACCCAAACGTGCACGGTGCATCGACCTTGAGCCATCTTGCCTCTTTATGCTATGGCCCCTTGTGTATTCCGCCGTTGTCCTTATGTAATTTTTTATTTATTGAACCTTGTCGTATCTTTAACACTTGTACTAGATCGACCCTTGAGAGATAATTTGAATGCAGCCCAAAGTGGTGCGATGGCAATGAACCTTGACTACGAACTTGACTACCTTATTCCTCGTAAGTTGAATATTATCACCTTAGATAGAATATTGTAATAACTTATGGCTAGGTATCAAGTCTCATTTCCTATTGTCTGATGGATATAAAACTACGTGGAAAATGATTACAATTCAAATAGGCAGTAAGTTAATGTCACATATATAAATGAGCACCTTTACTGACTGTTGTGAAAGGTAACGACCAATGTGCTTCTTGTAACATTTTAACTTCAAAATACGTTACCCCAGAAGCTTATGGTAAATACGTGGATGCTGCTATTCAAAGAATCCAGAAGGAGATTCCTAAAGTTGTGGTGAATTTGCGTAAGGTACTACTCTGTTATCCAGAACCTTGAGCCCTGACCTATGTCTATCTAGTTGGATCTTTTAAAGTCTCAGGAGTCTTTCCTTTAACTGCTGGCCAGACGAAATATTGTAAACCCAATGGTATCTTGGAAAATAAGATTGAATGTAGTTGCTCCAGCTCTGCAGACAAACTGGCAAGTATGGATGCTGTCTCTGATGGTAAGAATAAACAGCCGAATTGATTTAGTTCCTGACTTGTTGTGGATAGGATACAATAAGCAGTTGCAGGCAATTGCTGCAAAGTACCCAGGAAAGCCTGGAGGAACATTTGCGGTCATGTACACTCCTGCTCCAATTGACTTGTCTTCTTTTCCTGTTGATGCTCTTAGGTATAGTAGACGTTATTTTTTACATTCGTCTAATCTATCTTTTATAGCAACCTCGATTGTTTCCACCCTAGCTTGAAGGGTCATCGATGGATAGCAAAGGTAAAATTGGTTTACTCATTATATAAATGTCTTAATACATATTACTTTATAGACCTTCTGGAATCAATTATTCCTCAAGAATTCTGAAAAACCTCCTATCATCAAGTTTGATGAAGGCCTGAAGGTAAGAAATGGGATTCGAATAAATATAGTACTCTAACTGAGCCTTTCTTTAGATTTATTGTCCTACTGATAGTGATAGGTTGCCAACCATCTCTGTCTAACTAAAAGACTAATGAATAAAAAATAACGTATTACTCGCTTTATACTTACCGAGGCACTAAGGAGTGTACTGCCGTTATGGTCAGCGCATTAAATCCAGGAACACCGTTAATTTTTTGGAAGGCTTTCATTGTCATGTGCTGATTTGTAAATATATATTTAATGCAATGTTCACATCACGAATTCCACACTGTACCACAGCATTTGAAGGGCCAGGAGCAGATGTGTCTTCTTTATCAGCTTTCAAATAGGTACGGATATTCTTAAGGATTTCTTTACACCCTCAACATTTGTGGAGAAACTAGCGTACTCCAAAGTAACCAAATCACTTGCATATCGGAAGAGTTCAAAAACTCCAGAAGATCTAAAAAGCAGGATATCTATTAATATAAATTCATCTTTAACATGTATTTTGCATTATCTTTAGTGGAGCCACCCGATCCCTCCAGAATATCATCATTAACATCCCGTTTATCAAAAGGCTCATTGACCAAGGAGGGTTGTGATAGGAAAAGCATGTATACTAACGAAAACGAGTTTTCAGCTTGTCGATCATTGTTTGAAGTAGCCTTCTTCTGTTTTCTTTGCCTTGATTGCCTGGTGATGTTCGGGCGTACCTTACAATTTTATAACTATTGTCCTTTTGTACTTGAATAAATTTCTTATACTTATCATCACATTGGATAATATCTTGTACAACATTATCAATAAGGATGTTGGAACAAGCACTTTGATTTTTACCTTTGTATTTTTCTTCTAACACATAAAAATTATAGTATATTATGTAGGAATTGTCTGAATTTCTGACTCTTTTTTCCAAGAATTTACTTGACAAGTGCCAATTATGTTTCCCGGCAAAAAGAGCTGAAACTATGGTGTACACTACGCGCACGAAGAAGTCCCCGAGAAGGTTAATGTTACAAGCGCTACCTGTGATGCCGTCAACAAGCCTTTTCAATATGCAGCGTCACGTTAAGCTTATTCAGGAACAGACATCTTTCCATGTTCATTGATGTAGAATATAAATTTATCTTTTAAAGAAGAAAGAGATAAGAAATGATTTATTGATTTTATGTTACCAGTTTGATCAACAAAGAACAAAACCATTCACGTGTACTTGTAATAAATTCATAAAGAATATTTGACTGGAGAGACTTTGGTTAAATAGTCATTTTGATAGTGTGAAGCTGTAAAGCGACGATATAGGTAGCGCCTAGAGGAAAAGCCTGTAGCATCAACCTTCTTGTGGATTTCCTCGTATACCTATTTACTATTATCATTTTCCCTTAACTTACAGATACATTGACTTGTCTTTTTTTAAAAAATGAAGATTAACCTTGACAACACCATTCAGCTATACTTGTCCTTCAAGGCTTTACTAATCATATTGGCTTGGTATTCGTTGGCTCTAAACAATAAAGCGGACAGAGAATTGCGGTCAAAATCAAGCAACATGTAAATTCAAGAACCGCTTAGAAGAAGTAAGCAATACGTCACATAGATTATTTCTCCTCTTCTTCACTCTACATATCAATGTCTGACTTTGGCGATTTCAACACACCTTCCGAGGATCCTACTGCCGACTTTCTTGCTCGTGAAAGAGCAGCTTTAGGCGAAGATGCTGATTTATTCAACACTGAACCCATTCAATCACCTGCAGTTACTAATCTGATGACACCTTCCACTTTGCCCATGTCTCCCTCGGTCTTTACTGAACCAACTCCAACCATGTCCACTCCACCTGTGGATAATACATACTCTTCATTTGAAGCAGAATTCCCCAAGGCTGAAGAATTAGAAACCTCACAGGTTTGCATTTGTAAAAAAGATGAAAGAGCCAAGTTTACAAATATGTCTCTTTTATATAATAGGCATTCTATAAGGCTTTATTACCAGAAGAAGAACCAGAGACAGTTCGGTAAGAATGACTGCATATCTCAATAACGGATTAACTTCAACTTGCTTATAAAGTCAATGGCGCGAGAAACAAGCTGAAGTAATTGCCGAGCGTGATGCTGTTTCCTCAAAGAAGAAGGAAGACCTCGTTAAACAGGCTCGTGAGGAAATTGACAAGTTTTATGAAGATTATAACGATAAGAAGCAAAGAGCGATTGAAGAAAACAGGTAAAAGATGAAAATAACCAGAAAAAAAAAAAAGGATGTAGCTTATCCCCTTTTTTATAGAGCTCGTGAAGAGTCAACCGAAAAGAACCGTGAAAATATATCTTCTTCAAGCAATGTTTGGGAGCGTGTTGTGAGTGAAGTTGATATTAAAAGTGCCAAGACAGGTTATCATACAAGAGATGTTTCTCGCATGAAGGAACTCTTGCTTGATCTTCGAAAGGATACGTCTGCTCCTGGAAATGTTGTAGCTTAATAAAGATAATGTGATTTCGTGGAAAAGAGTGCTTCTATTGCAATAAGTAAAAAATGCAACATGTTACTCTTTACATACACAAGACAACAATGTGTTCTTTCTGGATTCAATTCTGGGAAAAATCGTTCAGTGGAATACAATGTATCCTCTTCATTTTACTCGAGTGTGTTCCAATAGACTACCTTTCTTTAATTAATAACTCTTTAAAGCAATTGATTAACCAATCTTTATAATTACTGTCTGTCACACAGACTGCGAGCAAATTATTTTTGATATCTATAAATAATACCCATTTCCCTTTTTTTAATTTCTTTATTTTTTTAAACTATTCCCATAGCAACAATGAAAGCAACATATACCTTAGTCACTCTATGCTTGTTATTTCATCTTGCATTAGCCGATATCTATAACCAACTTCAATTTATGAAGATTCTTTCTCCTACAAACGGACAAAGTATACAAGCCGGAGAAAATGTTACTATTACATATGTGATGCAACCTCTTGTCTATAGTAGCTATACATTATATGCTCTATACTCTTGTTCTTATATATATATTTAATTATAGAGCAAGTATCAAATGGGTATGCAAAGAATATCGTCATCAATTTTCATAAAAGATCCGGAAATACCAAGCAAGAAGTGATTGAAAATATATGTCCTACTTGGTAATACGAAACACTAGTAGTTTATCTTTTTTCTAATTCCTTTCCTAGTCCACTTGCTGCTAAACAAGACAAATATGTTACATATACCAAACAATGGACGATTCCCAAAGATACAACCCCTGGCTCTTATGCATTTGATTTTGTGGAAACTGTTCAGCTTCGTAGAGCAGTGGCCACCTCTTCTGAAACAGTTAAAGTGAACATTGTGGACAATTAAGGGATATTTAAATCGCGTCACCTTTTGTGAGAAATAAACTTTTTCCCCCTTATTTTTGTTTCTCTTTCTCTCTTTTTTTTTCTTATTTTTACTTTTTATTGTTGTACTTTTTTATGTTAACGAAGCCCTTTTGTGGTTGTGGAAATCAACAAGAAGTAAAGAAATAACCAGTAACAGATGAAATAAAGAAAAAGAATTTTTTATTGTCAGAAAGTCAACAATTATTAATATTATGTAGAGTATTACCCAACCAATCTATATCAACTCTTGTTATAGAGAAACGTAAAGTGTAATAATATATCATAGTTACCAACTTAAAGGATGTATATATAATTATTATCTATATAGTATACTTGATGGAATAACGCCCTTATTGTTCTTTATTGTTTCGTGCACGTACTTGTCTATCAAGTATCATCACAGTCATGATTACACTTTTGGTTTACCTACTGTCAAAGCACTTTCCATGTTTAGGACCAGTCTTTGCTTATTGATTGTCACTTTACTGGAAATAAGCAACTGGGCATTTTTATTTGCTTGGAGATTAGAGAGTGTTATATTAGAAGGAAGACCTTGTAAGGGACCACCTCTTTATCAGATTATCAACCCTGGACTGGCCTTTATTTCAAGAGTAACACGATCTGCATATATACATATACAGCCTATACTAATCTGCATACAGTTTTATGTTCTAGTCCTCATTATCAAGTCATTCACCGCAACCAAGTTTACTAGATACAACACTCATCTCTTATTCTTTTATTCCATCATCTTATTGTCAGCTATTGTACGAGTATTTGATTACATCTTTACAGACAACAAGTGGTTTATATCATCATCCATCGAAATATATTCTGCCTTGATTGATCTCGGTTTATGCTTTATATTATGGATGACCATCATGACTGCACCTTCCGAATTAGATCAAAGAGAGCTAATCGATTTTGAAGATAATGACGACAATGTGCTTGTGATGCAAGATGGAAATGTAATTCGAAATGTACGTATACGTCTGTTACAAAAGAGGGGGAAAATAACGGATATTTTTTTGTGTAGGGTCGTATATTAAGCGCAGAACCAACTGCTTCTCCACTTTCATCCATTACCTTTAGCTGGATGAACCCTCTGTTGAAGGCAGCATTTCATTCCCGTCTTACAGTGACCTCTTTATGGGAGTTGCCTGCACGACAGAGAGCAAGGGAGAACTACCGTCTGTTTGCTGAGCAGCAAAGAGCGTCGACTGCTATCACTGTCTCATCGCTTTTACAACGGATATTCAAAGCCAATCGAGCAATTATCATGCATCAGTTTGTCACAGCAATTGGAGCTGTCATCTTTCACTATACCAATCCTTACTTTTTACGTCAGCTATTGAATTACATTCAAGCACATCAAAAGGAAGACAGGGTGGATAGGGAAATGGGTTACTTGTATTGTTTGGCATTGTTCATCTGTAGCGTGATCAGCACCCTAATAGCTTCCCAGTCCTTGCTATGGGGCAGACGATGGCATGTCAATATTGTTCACATGCTCAACTCGGAAATATACGCGCATGCCCTTCGTCTCAAGCAAACGCATGATATGTCTGAAGACGAAGAAGAAGAGAAATCGAACTTGATCAACCAGGACACAGAGCGGGTAGCAGAACTAGCTTCTTATCTTCATGTAAAGACGTACATACGCGTGAATACTTGTCATAATAACATTGTCTTGTAGATCTTTTATACTTGTCCCCTTGAAATCATAGCAGGTGTTGTGTTTTTGTACCAAATACTTGGTACTGCCTTCCTAGCGGGTCTGATCGTTATGGTTATTGCCTTACCATCCACTCATTATATTAATCAAAAACTCATGAAGGCCCAAACACATTTGAATGATGCCAAATCTTGGAGAATTCGTTTGTTGAAAGAGCTTTGTGAAGGTATGAAGACGATCAAAACATTAGCCTCAGAAAGAAGATGGGAAGATGCAATTTCTGTAAGTAGCAACAATAGCCATTGCCACATACACATACATATACATATTATATTGTAGAGTGCTCGAGATGAAGAACTTGTCAAGTTGATCAAGGTATATACACAAAACACCTTATTAAACTTGATCTGGTTTGCCATGCCCGTATTTGTAACTACGACATCATTTGCATGGTACACACTTGTCGAAAAGAAATCATTGGATGCGAGGTAAGCATTGCAATGTCTAAAATGACGAAATGAATACATTGTTTACTTGATATTCTCTATATAGCACTGCATTCGTCAGTATTGTGTTATTTGGTATGTTACGTGATCCACTGAATGTTGTTCCCCAAGCCTTTATAGCCTACAATGACATCTATGTTAGCCTTGGTCATGTTGTCCGCTTCTTGAATACTGAAGAAAAGAGGGATGATGTAGAAATCGCTGCTACATGCGACAGTGATAACGACGATGGTGAACATCCTTTTGACTATGAAGAGCAATCAAAAATCACTCTTCGTACTGCTGTATTTAAATGGCCCAGTGGCAACGACGTTTTCAAACTAAAAGTGCTATTTGAACTCGAAATTCCATCCAGTAGGCTTTCTGTTCTTTCTGGGCCATCAGCCTGTGGTAAAACAAGCCTACTGAAGGCCTTGCTTGGTGATATGCCTCTAGATTCAGGAGAGAAGCCCCTTTTGCCCTCTCGTTTTTTGTGTACAGCTAATACACATAAAAGCCTCGTTCGGGATCCTGTATGTCCATTGTTTTACTTACACAAGGTCGCTTATGTGCCGCAGACGGCTTGGATTGAACACACGACTGTAAGAGAAAACATTTTGTTTTCAGAGTCTTGGGACGATGCAAGATACAGAACCGTTTTACATCAATGTGATCTTCTAAGGGACTTATCGCTCTTTGAAAACGGAGATTTGACCGTCGTGGGCGATAAATCAGCTATATTTAACAATGGTGTCAACATAGGTACATGTCCACAAACAAAGGAAAGGGCCCTCTTCTGACTATTGCTTTCATAGAGGCATTGTATCACAAGATATCGCTTGCTAGAGCTGTTTACTCAAGAGCAAAGACTGTGTTGATAGACGATATCTTTCAAGTGCTCGGTAAGACAGTATCTACTTTTATATACGAAAACTGTATTCGTGGTGATCTGATGCGGGAAAGGACCGTGATTGTTGCTGCGGCCTATCCTGACATGTTTTGGGCTCGCGATGCAGCTATCTTTATCCATATTTCTCTTGTCTCCGACGGCCAAGGCGTAGTAGACTCTGTCGAAACTGATCCAGAAAAGATTGTGGGAATGATTAAGCAGCGACGGGCAGACAGATTGACGCTGGTCGATGCCGTAAGACACTATGACATCTTTGGGGATGTAGTGGATGTCCTCTTTGAGAATAACAGTGTTATGGCGGGCGTCTTTACAGAAGACGAGTTCTTCGATGAAGCTTCGATCATGCCAGCTTCGATTCGATTACTAGACGAAGAAGAGAATGCTAAAAGAGATTATGCCTATGCGACTTATTTATCTGCCTGTGGTGGATGGCAGTATTGGACTTTTGCGGTGCTATTCACTCTCTTGGCATGCATATCAAATATAGCAGAGAGTTATTGGCTAAAGGAAGGTAACCTGTTCATCTTCATCCTATACGGCCACCCAAAATAATCATGCTTGGTTTTATAGGTTTGGTCCATGACTTATCCAACACGTATCTACTCCTTTGTCACCAATTACTACGTGCTCGTTTACTTGGCCCTTAGTCTTATCGCTGTCCTGTTTAACTTTGTTCGCACCATTATCCAGTACCGTGGATCCCTTCGTGCCTCTAGCCGACTCTTTTTGGGCCTCTTGAGGTCGGTGTGTCACGCTCCTATTCAGTTTTTTGAAATAACATCACCAGGTCGGATCCTAGAAAGATTCATAAAGGATATAGAAATAGTCGATGGAAGTATAGGATGGCAAGTTGGATTCTTGCTACAAATGGCATTTAGCATCATTGGGGCTGTGTTTACAATTGGTATTATACTACCAGAGTTCTTTGTAGTCAGTACGTTTGCAAGTAAGTATGACCTGTTTGAAAGGATGGTGTTTTCTAATTCCTTTTTTACTGTCATTAGCCATAATCTATCTTTATATTGGCATAATATATATTAAAGCCTCTAAAGAATTGAAAAGGTTAAATGTCAGCAGTCGCACGCCCATCCTTCATCTCTTCTCTGATACATTGACTGGATTGCTAACAATACGAGCCTATGGTGAAGAGTGGACAATGATGAAAAAGATGTTCAATAGACTCGACGACAACATGAGACCATTTTATACTCTGTGGACGACTAACAGATGGCTCTTTGTACGTATTGAACTGTTAGGCACCCTGTTATCCTTGTTCATTTCCATTTTACTTGTCTATAAAATGGATATCATTGATGCCGGCATGGCAGGCATTGCACTAACATTTTCAACAAACCTACAGGAATATGTATACTGGCTGATGCGACAATCAACAGCCGTGGATATACATTTTGAATCAGTCGAAAAGATCAATGAGTATATGAATGCTCCTCAGGAGCCACCTAGCATTGTTGAAGGCTCTCGCCCGCCTGCTTCAGTAAGTCTACTGTATTTACATGACATATATAAGCTGACATAGAAATAGTGGCCTACAGCAGCAACGATTCAAATCAAGGATCTCATGGTTAGTTTCAATCATTCTGAAGTGGATGCTGCATTAAAACATGTTACTCTCAATATCTACTCGGGCGAGAAAGTGGCGCTGATCGGAAGAGCAGATGGGGAAAAGAATGCGCTCGTCTCCAGTCTATTTCGCTTTGTAGAACCCATGGCAGGATCCATAAAGATTGATGGTGTTAATATTGCTTGGGTAAAAAAAAAAGTACACATATGAGCAAAGTATCCACAGGCTTTATTTATGATAATAATTAGATCGGTGTTGAAGATTTGAGATCACGTATTACATACATTACAAAAGAAAGCTGGCTACTGAGTGGAACAGTTAGAAGTAACCTGGATCCATTTGGAGAATACGAAGATTATGCACTTTGGCAAGTCCTGTACAAGGTTTATCTTGCCAAGCCTCATGATCAGTCACAGAGATCCAGCCATAGTGGCAGCAGTAGCAGTGACCTCAAAGGCTTGCCCTTTTCTTATATTCATGATCTAGATTATGATATCGGTAAAAATGGCTCTCGTTTTACCGTCTGTCAGAGACAACTACTCTGTATTGCGCGAGCCTTACTTCAGGACTGTACGAGACTAGTCGTTTTTGAAGAGGCTGATTTGAACATAGAGTCTCAAGAAATCATTCGATCTGTGATAGACCAGGAATTCCAAGAATCCGTACGTTATGATTATCATCATTTATTATTCGCTCATGCTTCTTTATAGACACTATTGGTCATACCTTATTTACTACGTCAAGTCGTGTATTATGATAAGGTGATTGTATTTGATCATGGAACTATTGCCGAAATGGATTCACCTGGAGAACTGCTGAACAGACAAGGTAGTTTGCTACAGCTGCTGTGCGATAAAGCTGGCATTTTGGATGAGTTAACACTAGACATTTTTTCATAAGAATTGATTCTCTACAAAATTATGTAATAAAGCTATCGTGTACAAAAACCAAGAATATAGGCTTCCTACTATTTTTTTTTTTATTTATAACAAAAAAAGTGTGAGTGAAAGTGTAGCTCAGCTCTCTATTTTTTTGCGTGTATTTCTGCGACAAGAGTTAAGGTGTACTGCAGCGTGTGTATAGTTGTATTAAGCGATTGTGTGTTTATTGCTTGCTAGCTTCAAGTTTAGCATAGTAGGCATTTCTGCGGTCAAGACTGGGAATGTGGTAGGTGTGCCAGAAGTAGTAGCCAGCACCGAAGCCAATGGCGAGAGAGACAGAAATATCTCTGATGATTTTCTTGCGAAGAGTGCCAGTGATGGGAGCAACCATTGTAATTAATTTAATAAGAGAAGAGGAAAACTGTGAAAAAATCGTCCGTCAAAAAAAATAAAAAATTGCCTGGGCTACGGGCAGCGCGGTTTCAAGTTTATATGACGTAAATGCTATCATCCAATCAAATACATATCTACGTGAAGTATAAAAGCTGACTGGTACTGAGCTTGAATAAAACACACTTGTATATATCTAAACCCTGTTGGAGGGAACCGTGTTCTCGACGGCGATTTCTCTAGTGAAAACCGAGGGTCTTCCTTCACCTCTCCAAATGGCCCAAGAGATATCGAGCATGTTTTTACTTGCATTTATATCTCTGTTCCACAGTATATTGCAGATTTTGCAATCTAATATACTGCGGGACTTTTTACCATTCGAGAGCTTCTTTTGTTCTAGTCCCTTCTGTTTACAGTTGTTGCAAACCTAAATAGTTGATGAAACAAAACTGTCATTAAATAACATTGACTTTATCAGTCTAATTTCATAAGAATACCTTCGACGTTCGGAACTCATTTATG